TTTTTGGTCTTTTTGAGACAGAGTCTTTCTGTGCAATTCAGGCTAGTCTTGAGCTCACTTTGTAGCCCAGGCTGGTCTCAAACTCCCAAGGATCCTCCTGCCTCAGCCTCCCAAGTGCTGGGATTACAGGTGTGTGCCACCAACCCCTGCTATCTTGATTCTTTTGGGCAAATAATCCCTAAACAATTCTAGGTGGTTGAATATTGTAATTATCACCTCTCCTTTATAGATAAAGAAACTAAGGTTGGGCTCTTGCCATATTCACAAGGATAGTAAGTGGCAGAATCTGGATTTGAATACAGGTCTGATTTAAAAGTTTAAAGCAGGATGTTAACTACTTTTTAAATTTTTACCCTGATGCAGGGCGTGGTGGTGCACACCTGTAATCCCAGCACTTGGGAGGCTGAGGCAGGAGGATCATTGGGAGTTTGAGGCCAGCCTGGGCTACAGAGTGAGCTCAAGGCCAGCCTCAACTGCATAGCGAGACCCTGTCTCAAAAAGGCAAAAAAAAATTTTTTTTTTACCCTGAGTATCAAATTGATTTAAAAAGAAATGACAGTTTGCTACTACTTGTTTTTAACATTTGGTAGGGGAAATAGGTAATTTTTCTTAATGGTATTTCTTGGATGTGAGGATTTTGTTTCCTGTGTACTTGTTTGGGTTTGGGGTACTTCTGTGTTAACTGTGTAGTTGTAAGTTTGGGGTGTTATTGTTGTCTAATTTGTTTATGTTTTGTGTGCTGGGAATTGAACACAGGGACTCCTGGGTACTAGGACTTACCAAGTCTTTGTGGTGATATTCAGTGAATGCACAGTGAATAATTAAGATACTTGTTCTGTTTTTTTCTTTAGGGTGTTGGTTGTGGCATTTGAAACCACCCTCTTGTCCTCTCTTAACTAAATTTAAAGAACAGGATACAAAAGTAACAGATATTTCCAAACGGGTTATTGCTCTTGGTGAATTCTCAACTTTGGATTCAAATTTGAACCGTGATTCTGCTGTCATGGCAAGTACAAAAGAGCTCATGTCCTCTAGGGTGTTTCCTTCACTTCTTTTCGAGAAAAAAACTTGGATATTGGCTGTTGTGTCTCGGAGTTCCTTTTGTCCTGGGCTCAGATTTGTGTTCTGTTCTTTGAGACAGGGTCTCACTGTGTAGTTCAGGCCGGCCTTGAACTCGAAGTGATTCTCTCGCCTGAGCCTTCCCAGTGTGAGATTACAGGCACCATGCTCGGTTCTGAGGTTAAATTTTGAAAAATAATTGATGTACATATTTCCTTTCAGTACTTATAGAGCTTTAGAACATTTTTAAAATAGCCAATTTTGAAAATTAATAAGCTACTTTGGGAGAATATTACATTATATAGCATATTCAGATACTTTATTTTTGTTTTGGTTTTTTGAGACAGGGTGTTGCTGTGTAGTTCTGACTCACCTTGAACTCACCATGAACTCAGGACAGTCCTCCTGCCTGTCTCCTTATTGTTGGATTACAGGCATCGCCACCATGCCCAGCTCACATTTAGGTACTTTATAAGTCAGCACTGTAGTCTAATAAATATGTAAAGTTCAATTAGTTGAGAGGGAGAAAAAGAAAAACATGAAATAAGTCTTTTTTTTTAACTAAATCCTTCAAAAGCTATGTAAATGCAGCTTTGTATTTAGTGACTAAAGCTAGTCCTACATAGACGTTGACTTACTACGACAGAAAATGATTGGTAGTATTGTGATTAACATTAGTAAGTGATATGGATCTGTTATTGTGGCATTTTATTCTTCATTGCAGCTTATGAGGACAAGGAATGCTTTTACTAAAGAAGTAAGAAATATTTTGCTGGAGGAAATTGGGTGGTCAAATCCTGGTTTTTCTTTGGGAAAATATTTTCCCTTGCTTCTAAAAAAACAAATCGAATACCAGGTACTTTCTGAGTATCATGGTAAACAAGGTTAGTGATCATTATTATCATTTGTGCTAATATTTCAGTTTCGAAAATATGAAGACTTAGCCCTTGACTCAGAAGTGGTCAAAACCTTGCTTACATTGGGCAAGGACAACTATTTACGCAAAGCACAGCAACTTGTACAATGCAGTGTTGTGTCTGCCAGCTTCCAGAGATACGCATACAAAGATTGCTGTTACTTGTTTACTTATTTTTGCAGTGTAGGGGATCAAACTCAGGTTTCCTCCACCCCTGAGGTATATTCCCTGCTCTTTTTATTTGGAGACAGGGTTTTGCTAAATTGCCTGAGCTAGTGTCAAATTTGTAATCCTCCTGCCTCACCCTTCCCAGAAGCTGAGATTACAGGCATGCTAACTTGCCCATTGAAAGCCAGTTATAATTATGGTAGATTACTAGTCATTCGTTTAAAGAACACTTTAGATGAGATCATTTAATATATGTCTTCATACAGAAGGCTTACTTTCAGCATGTCAGATTTGATTACCTTTTCAGATTAATGTCACAGAACTTTCAAAGAGGCCATGCTAATCTTCTCTGTATCGTTCCAATTTTAGTAAACAATATGGAACGCTTCACAAATTTACGTGTCATCCTTGCGCGAATATTTCGAAGTGATATGAAGATTATTGGGTATTGAAAATTGTTTTTGTTGATTAGTAAGCACATGCATTCTATAATTTCTGAAATAGAAAGTTCACAGCTAGAGCCTGATGTCAGTCAAAAAGACATGAAAAGGAAACGAATGGAAACAGAAACTCAGAAGTCAAAAAGAAAGAAACTAAGTGAATATTCAGTAAATCCAGAAAAGATCAGTGAGAAGCCAGAAGAACTTGACAAAAGCAACAACTCTTCTGGCAAAAAGCTAGATTCTTCCAAAGGTATATTTTCTAAATCATCCCGGAAGAAGCAAACTGCTTTACGTACAACATGCAAAGTGAAAACAGAAGCAGTAGTGCATCATGATATTCTGATAATAAATGATGACAAAGAGCCTGCAGCAGAAACATCTTCCGTTCCTGGTAAGTTGGATTTTCTCCCTCTCATTGTAGAACTTGTGTTTTTTAACCTCTTCCCCCCCACTCTCTTTTTTTGTTGTTTGTTTTTCACTTGAGACAGGGTCTTAATGGGTTGCTCAGGCTGGCCTCGAACTCTAGATGCTCCTCCCTCGGCCTCCTGAGTAGGTGGGACCACAGGCCTATGCCACCGTGCCTGTCCTTCTTTTAATTTATGCATATTGCAACTTTCAAACAGTATATTTGTATGTAAGTGGAAGCTGCAGTGATTTGAGGCTGATAGCTAACCATATGAACAGATAGATATTTCGTCTTTGATTTCTCTGTGCTTCTCTCTAAATACATATGCCTAAAAAATTTATTTTTGTGGTGTTGGGGATCAAACCCATATATGCTACCCATGTGCTGTACCACTGAACTTTACCTCTAGCTCAATACATACGCCGTGTGTGTGTGTGTGTGTGTGTGTGTGTGTGTGTGTGTGGTGTGTGTGTATATATCTGTGTGTGTGTGTGCGCGCGCATACACAACTAGGAAATAAACCTAGGGTCTTCACACTGAGCTGTATCACTAATCTTTTTCACTTTTTATTTTGAGCCAAGGACTTGCCAATCCATAAATTGCCAGGGCTGGACTTTAATTTGCAATCTTTCTGTCTTAGCCTCCCAAGTGTACAGTCATAAACATGTGCTGCCATGGCAAGCTACATATGCTTTCTAAAAAACCTCAGTTTTTCCATTCAGTTTAAATATTTTGCCCAAAGTATTCTGTTGAATTGTTTTAATTCATCCATTTTTATGTAAACTTCATGGCATGTTTTAATATTGTCATTAATTTTTTAAAATTTTATTTATTTTGGGCTTTCTGAGACCTTTTTTTTTTTATCTTTTTGAGACAGGGTTTCACTATGTGGTTCAGGCTGGCCTGGAACTCAACAGTTCTGCCTCAGTCTCCTGAGTGCTGGATTACAAGGCATGTGCCACCACGCCCAGCTTAACCTTAAATTTTAAAATAACCTTTTTGGCATTTTGAAAGCATCATCTTTTCTACAAATAATTATTGTGACATTATAGCAGTTATTTAAATATCTAAGAATATATGCTTATATCAAGGAATAAATAATACCTTTTTTTTTTTTGCTTTAGATTCTGGAACTGAAGATATGCTTTGGACAGAAAAGTACCAACCTCAGAATGCCAGTGAACTCATAGGCAATGAGGCAGCTATAAAGAAGTTACATAGGTTGGTGGCATTTCTAAAGGAATTGAGAAGTAGTTTATGAGTTTGGTTTTACTATTTTATTTAGGCTAAAATTTAGAAATTAAAATTATAAAGTAGTATAGTACATGGGAAAAGGTTTTTGTTTTTTTTTTTGGTACCAGGAATTGCTTTCAGGACATTGTACTTGCCAGGTAGGTGCTGTGTTGCTGAGCTATACCCTGGCCTTGGAAAAGTTTTTTAAAGACAAGAATTTTAAGCAAAAAGTTTCTTTTCTCACATTTCTCCTTCCCAGAATTTACCATAATTGGAAATTTCTTGTTAAATCTTCAAGAAAAAAAATTGTACATATGCAGTAGATCTTTCTTTTCTGACTAATGGGATCATATTAATTCAGGTCCACAGAAAGTTTTGAAAACTGAAAAATTTATTGGCTTCATTATATGAAGTTTGTTATGGTCTTTTTTTTTTTTTTTTTTTCCCTTCTTCTTGGTTTTTATCTGGTACCGGGAATTGAACTCATGACCTTGCACTTGCCAGGCAGGTGCTGTACTGCTGAGCTAAATTCCCAGCCCCATTTGTTATGGTCTTTGTCAATCACATTTAGTAGGCATTTAATTTGCCTTTTTTTTTTTTTTTTTTTTTTTTGGTATCTGGAATCAAACTCATGGCCTCGTGCTTGCCATTCAAGTGCTTGCGCCACTGAGCTATATCCCCGGCCCTAACTTGCCTTTTGAATACCTGAAAAATTGTGAATTTTGCAGCTATAGTATTTGGCCAAAGGATTTCATGTAAGGAATTGCTGACCCATTCTAACAGTCAATATCATGAAGTTAGAACTGGTGCAAGAAACACTCTTCTACCAGGCATGGGGCACATACCTATAATCCTAGCACTCAGTAGGCTGAAACAGGAGGATCGCTGTGAGTTAAAATCCAGCATGGGCTACACATAGTGAATTTAAGCCCATTCTAAACTACATAGTGAACTCTATCTCAAAAACAAACAAACAAATAAACAAACACTATTCTTAGTTGATTTAATCCTTAGAACTGTGAGAGTAAATACTGTTGTTTTGATCTCTTCAATGAAGAAACAGTCCTGGAATGGTTATTTCTCTAAAGTCACATAGGTAGAAAAGTAGGGATTTTGTAGTCTGGTAGTTTCGGTCCAGATTAAAATTTAAAGTTTCCACTTGTATTTAGCATTATATTTTAGATATATTTTATGTCATCACACAGCGTGCCTTAGTTATTTTTAATTGCTGTGTACTGGTTTTTTAAATATGAATTTACTGTAATATATCTTTTTCCCTACTAGGAAGAACTTTTATGTTTTTCCTTACAGAGGCTAATTTAAACAGTGCTGCAAGGCGAGCATGGTGGCACACACCTGTAATCCCACCACTCGGGAGGCTGAGGCAGGAGGATCACTGTGAGTTCAGGGCCAGCCTGGGCTACAGAGTGAGCTCAAGGCCAGCCTGAACTACATAGTAAGACCCTGTCTCAAAAAGACAAAAACAAAAACAAAAAACACCAGTGTTGCAGTAAATGTTCTAGTACATAAGCTCATGTATATTTAGGCAAAAGCTACTTCATTCTTTTTTTTTTTTTTTTTTTTTTTACACATATGCTATAAGTTTATTAGTGGTTCATTCTGACATACACAAATGAAAAAGTAATTCTGGAATTTGCTTTAAAATATTACAGAAAAAAATTGGTTGGGCAGAGATGAAACAAGATTAGTCATCAGTTGATCCTTGCTAAAACTGAATGATAGGTACACAGGAGTTAATTATTCTAATTTCTTTTTTGTGTGTACATTCAAAATTTTTTCACAGTATAAAGTTGGGGAAAAAAAGCACCAAGGACAATAAACAACTAGCCATGCCTAGTGGAAGACAGACTAAAAACTTTGGGAAGTATACATTAGGTTCATGTATCTTTTCATAATGTAATCCTACTCATTGGGACACTGAGACTAAATTTTGTGTAAAGGGCAAACACGTATCCATGAACATGAATATTAAGAATTGCCTTAATAGCAATAATTTCATTATGCTCTTGATGATAACTGTACGTTCAACAGCTATGGAATACCTACATGATTCTGTCTCTAATCAGAAGAATGTAAAGCAACCATATGCAGAAATAATGAAGCTACTTCATTCTTTAAACATTCATGTCCATACAAAAATATTTTAGTATTTAGTTGATTCAGAGGCCCTATGGAGCACATAAAAACCAGCAATATGCCATAATGCCCCCTGCAGTTTTTTTTTTTTTTAAAGAAGGAAAGGTTTATTTGCTCACAATTTGTAGAGGTTTCAGTCCGTAATCGGCTCTTTCCAAGGTAGGGTGGGTTGGCACGGAGGCATCCCAGAGGAGAAACAGTGCATGGTGGCAGAAGACAGCAAAAGCAGCAACCGAGAGAGACAGGCAGAGAGAGACAGATAGAGTGACGGCAGCAGTCGTTTTAACGTAAGGTTTAATGCGTATCTCTATTCTTGAATTATTGTGTCACTAATGTGCATTTTTTATGACAGCTGGTTAAAAGACTGGAAGAGAAGAGCTGAACTGGAAGAAAGACAGAATTTGAAGGGAAAAAGAGATGAAAAACAGGAAGGTATTTTGAGTCATTTCTTTTCATTTCACCAAATGCTTCTAGAGTTACGTTAGCTTTTCTTTGTTTTTCTTTTTTTTTTTTTTTGAGAAAGGGTCTTGATATGCAGTTCAGGTTGGCCTTAACTTTGCTGTATAGCCCACTCTGGCCTTGAACTCGCAGTGATCCTCCTGCCTCAGCCTTCTGAGTGGTGGAATTACATGTGTGCACCACACCCAGCTTGTTTCATTTTTTAGAGGGAGTCTTAAACACAAGCTCTCCTGTGTCAGCCTTCAAGGGCTGGATTTTGTGGGCATGTGCCATTACGCCTGGCTTAGATTAGCTAAAACTTTTTATGAAATTTCAGAGTTAGTGTTTTGTATTTGACTTATGCTTATATAAACTCATTTTTCAGCATTTATTGGCAAGAAATTTGATGGACTTGATAAATGGTTTTCATGAGATAGAATTGTTTCCTAAGCTTTAATTACTTTATATGCATTTGGGTACTTTTTCAGATTTTTCTGATAGCGTAGACTTTCAAGGCAGCTCAGACGAAGAAGAGATCCGTCTTTGCAACACTGTTCTTATAACGGGGCCAACAGGAGTGGGTAAAACTGCCACAGTGTATGCTTGTGCTCAGGAGCTGGGATTCAAGGTGAGTAACAGGTACAGCGGGAGATGTGGATGTAATAATTACCGTTATCAGAAAACATAAATTGTGCTGCCTTTTTCCTCACGTCTTCTTGTAGATATTTGAAGTGAATGCTTCCTCCCAGCGCAGTGGTCGACAAATTCTGTCTCAACTCAGAGAGGCTACTCAGTCCCATCAAGTAGACAAACAAGGTGTAAATGCACAGAAGCCCTGTATTTTTAGTAACTACAGCATAGGCAAGTCACCAAGTAAGTAATAAAATACGAGAAATAGTTATAATTGCCAACATTCTCCTACTCGTTTGTAATGCCTTCCTGCACGCAGACGTGCCTGCTCGCTTGCTTGTTTTTCTTTTCACAGTAACTGCATTAACTCAAGGCCTTCCACTGAGCTATATTCCCAGTGTTTTTAATTTTTTATTTTGAGATAGGGTCTCACTAAGTTGACCAATCTGGCCTCAAAATTGAGATCTTTCTGCCCCATCCTACCAAGTAGTTTTCCTAGAGTATTAAAATAACCTGAAGATCATTTTACCTCAAGTATACTTCAGTATGTATTTCTAACCAGGCAGGGTTTTTCAAAAAGCATAATTACAAAGAATCAAGATATATCACAGATAGGTACAAATTCCCTATGACGTTATCATTATGTGTATCTAAAATATACCGATAAAATTAATTGAAAAAATAATTGCAGTGGCATAATCAGACCTAACAAAATTAAGTATATTGCTGTCTAATACACTGTCTTATTTCAGTTTTCTGTTGTTTCACCTGGTTTATTCAAATCAGGATCCAAATAAGACCATATCTTAGCTATGGTTAATGTTTCTTAAACTTTTTTTTGTTTGTGTGTTTGTTTTGAGACAGGGTCTTGCTGTGTAGTTCAGGCTGGACTTGGACTCACTATGTATCCCAGACTGGCCGGGAACTTGTGATCCTCCTGCCTTAGCTTCCGAAGTTCTGGCATGCTCCACCATGCCCAGCTCTTTTAAACTTTCAATCTTGCCAATAATTCCGTTACCCTTGGTAGTCATGTCATTTATTTGTTGAAGAACCTGAGTTATTTGTTATGGAACTTCTCACATTCTGAATTTGGTGGATGATCGTATCCTGAAGATAACAGTTGACATATTCCTCTTCCCTGTATTTCTTATAAACTGGTAGTTAAATCTGTGAGACTGAGTAGATTCAGGTTCTCCTTTTGTGGCAGGCATATATGAATCAGCTTGTGCTTCCTGTGACATCAGCAGTCACTTCCCACTTATAGTGATACTAAGATTGGTCAGTGGCATTGGTGTTGAACTTCTATCCTTTTGTCTCAGCCTCCTAAGTAGCAGGGAATAAGGTGTGTACCACATGCCTGGCTCGTGTGTTTAATGTTGTTGTATATGGTATTTTTCAGTTTCTTATTTTTAGTATCTAGATTAAAAAGTTGATTATAGCCCACAACTGTTATCCCAGTACTTTGGGTAGCTGAAGTAGGAGGATCAAAAGTCCAAGCCCATGCTGGGTGTGGTGGCACATGCTTGTAATCCCAGCATTTGGCACATTTTAAAAGGGGCAGGGGATGTAGCTCTGTGTTAAAGCCCTAGGTTCAATCCCCAGCACCACCACCAAAAAAAGATGGGTTAATGAGTTCAAATATTTTCATTCTGACTCATTAATTATAAAATCCCATACCCCTACTACGCTCTTATAATGGTGCTTCGCAGCTCTTAGAGATCTTTGTTGAGTGCTTACTTTGGCAGCACACATACTAAAGAAAGAGATCTTTGTTTAGTAGGTTCATTGTGGGAAATTTAAAATGAAGATTTAAAAACATAAATTATTTTCTTACATCCCTCAGCTTTTTTGCCTTTATTATTTAGAATTCTGAGAAGTACTGTTCTCATCAGCTACTTTGAAATAGTTTGTAGGTATGAGGAATGTTTCATTGATTCCTTTAATTTTTACTTCTAGAATCATGGTGTCATAGTAACCTCCAGAACTGACCAGTGAGTTTTGGTTTTTGTGTGTGTGGTGCTAAGGATTGAATCAGGGCTTAAAGCACACTAGGCAAGGATTCTACCACCAAGTTACATCTTAGCTCTTTTTCAATTTTATTTTGAGATGAGGTTTCATTAACATGTGCAAGCCAGCCTCCAGCTTGATATCCTCTTCCTCCTTTATAAGTTTTCATATTTCTTGAAATAGTCTTTCTGTCCTGTCTCCTTTGTGTGTTTTTGTTTTTTATTTTTTTACCCTTTCTTTTTTTTTTGGTTTTGTTTTTTTTCCGGTACCGGGAATTGAACTCACGACCTCTCACTTGCCAGGCAGGCACTGTGCCACTGAGCTAAATCCCCAGCCCCTTGTTTTTTATTTTTTTAGACAGGGTTAGTGTTTTGATCTTCTGTTGTATTTCAGTTTGAATAATTATTACTATTAAAATATTTTTTGTGAGGGCCAGGGTGGCTCACACCTGTAATCCCAGCAGTTGGGAGGCTGAGGCAGGAGGATCATTGCAAGTTCGAGGCCAGCCTCGGTTACAAAGTGAGCTCAAGGCCAGCTTGAACTGCATAGCGAGACCCTATCTCAAAAAGACCAAAAAAAAAAAATTTCTGTGTTTCTCTTTATCATGTGCTCAGTCTTTCCTCTACATTTTTGGACATGTGGAGTATTTTATAATAACATACATTCATTCATTCATTTATTCATTATTTATTTGGAGACAGGGTCTCACTGTGCAGTTCAGTGTGGCCTTGAACTCATTATGTAGCCCAGGCTGACCTTGAACTCATGGCTATCCTCCTGCCTCAAGATCCCCAAGTGCAATGATTACAAGTATGTGCCACCACACCTGGCTATCTGTAACATTTCTGAGATGGCTTTTCAATTCATTAGTTTCTCTCTCTGGATTATATTTTTCTGCTTTGGATGCCTTATGTTTTTCTGCTTTGGATGTCAGACTTTGTATAATTTACCTCATTTGGTGGTAGCCGTTTCTGAGTCCTGTAACTATTCTTGAATTTCCAGAATATAGTTCAGTTACTTGGAAATAATTGTTCTTCGAGGTCTTTTAAGATGTATTGGGCAAGACAATAGCATTTAGACTAATTCTGAACTACTTGGGCAAAACCTTTCTGAGTCCCCTGGCCTGTGTGTTGATTATGATACTTTTCACTCTGGTGGGAAGGGGAACTTATCCCTAGGTCTCTGTGAGCCCAGAAATTGTTTCTTCTAGAACTTCACTGATGGCCAGGTGTGATGGCACACACCTATAATCCCAGCACTCTGGAGGCTGAGGCAGGAGGATCGCTGTGAGTTTGAGGCCAGCCTGGGCTACAAAGTGAGTTCAGTGCCAGCCTGAACTGCATAGTGAGACCCTGTCTCAAAAAAGAAACCAAATAAAACTTCACTGATGAGGGCTCAAAGACTTGAGAGGATTTTGCAGGTTTCTAGCGCTGTCTTGACATAGCTGTCTCATCTCGTATATTCCATCCTGTGATTTCTGTCTGCCTTTGTTTCCCCACATACCTCGTTCAATCTCCTTGACTCAGGAAAACCTGAGCCAGGTATTTCCTCATCACTTGGCAATTCATGCAAAGCTATAAGCCAGCAGGAAAGCCTAGTGTTTACCTTGTCTGTTTCTTGGATTCTGGGGATCACTCTCCTTTGTTAGATGATGGTCAAAGTCTTGAAAAATATTTTCATATGTTTACTTTCCTTTTTATTGTTACTTTAGATGGTAGGGTAAATACAGTGCCAGTTACTGTATGTTGGAAGAATCTTTTTTTTTTGGTCTTTTTGAGACAGGGTCTTGCTATTCATTCAGGCTGACCTTGAGCTCACTTTGTAGCTCAGGCTGGTCTCAAACTTGTAACATGTTGGAAGAATCTTACCTCTTTTCTTTCTTTCTTTCTCTCTCTTTTTTTTTTTTTTTTGGTGTTTTTGGAATAGGGTCTCGTATGCAGTTCAGGCTGGCCTTGAGCTCACTTTGTAGCCCAGGCTGGCCTCGAACTCACAGCGATCCTCCTTCACTAGCCTCCCAAGTGTTGGGATTACAGGGGTGTGCCACCACACCCAGCTCTCTTTTTCTTTTAGTCCTCATATATTTTCGTCTTTGGCTAGCAGGGAACTATTTTAATTGGTCTTTATCCTTTTGACCTAGTTGTACTAATCTGATATTTAGAGTTATCTATTTCTCTAAAGGGATGATTCTTTCTATGGAAAGTTTAAAAAAAAAAAAATTAATAAAATTATGTCTGGGGGCACCAGGGATATAGCTCAGTGGCACAAGCACCTGCCTAGCAAGTGCAAGGTCCAGAGTTCGAGTCCCAGTACCCGCCCAAAAAATTTGTTTATGGCCGGGAGTCGTGGCACATACCTGTAATCCCAGCACTCAAGAGGCCGAGGCAAGAGGATCGTTGCAAGTTTGAGAAGCAGCCTGGGCTACAAAGTGAGCTCAAGGCCTGCCTGAACTGCATAGCGAGACCCTGTCTCAAAAAGACCAAAAAAAAAAAAAAAAAAAAAAAAAATTATGTTTGGGGATATAGCTCAGCAGCATAGTGCCTGGCAGGCAAGCCTGAGGTCCTGAGTTTGATTTCTGGTACCAAATAAAATAAAATTTAAAATCTGACCATTTAAAAAGTTGGCATGTAGGGGCTGGGGATTTAGCTCAGCGGCAAAAGCGCCTGCCTGGCAAGCGCAAGGTCGTGAGTTCAGTTCCTGGTACCAGAGAAAAACCAAAAAAAAAAAAAAAAGTTGGCATGTATTTCAAAACAGACATCTTTGGACTGATGTAATCTATGATCAAGCAATCCTTGGTCTGTCAAAATAAGAACAAACTAGTGTTTCTTACAAATAGATGTCTATTTGATGTAAAGAAAAAATCTTCACTTTAAGATTTTGAATCTCTTACTTAGGGTTTTGAAATTTTTTTTAGTCAAATGTTGATGTCTGTAACTTCCAAAATTTTTAGTAAGTTTCTTTTATTCAGTAAGTAATATGTAAAGGATATGATAAAAGTCTATGGCTTTTGAGAAAAAGGGAGAGAAAAGAATAAGACATATCAGGAAACTATATATAAGATGATAAGTGAGGAGGATCTTGCTTTTGGTGCATATGGTAATTAGGACATGTAAGGACTAAATCAAGGTACTTAGAATAGGAAAAAGGAATGGGCTCTGGAATAAGTGCCTGGAGACTTCTGAAAAGTAGAGTCCAACCACATGTTTACCTTTGTACCCACCCTGCAAAGCATCTTTAGAAATGCGTGCTGTTTTGTCGTGACAGTTTACTGTAGGGTTCAGTTGAAGGTGGATGATAATGTCCTGTAATGTGCTCAGCGCCTACTGACGTCATTTTTCCTCCAGCCTCTCCTGACTTCGGTGGGAGGGTTGTGAACAATATTTGATCAAAATGTCTGTTTCTTTGGTAAATGGCCGACCTCTTCTTCTGTACAGCTGGTATAAATACGTACAATACTATTTGAGTGTACAGATTTTTTAATGTAAGAATGAAAGAAAATTTCTGGATCTTTAATTTTACCTGGTAGTAGAAATACAGAATGTAGATAACACTGTCTTCCCATCTGTGTAATTTTTAGATTGTTTATTCTTAAATTCTTAAATGCAGTTTGTTTTTTGTAGGAAAATTAAACTCCCCTAAGAAAGTTGTTACATCCCCACGGAAACTTCCTCCATCATCACCAAAAAGTAGCGGGCAGAAGAGAGCACTTCCCCCTAAAACACTGGCAAATTACTTTAAAGTATCTTCTAAACCCAAAAATAATGAGGAAATGGAAGCACTTTTCAGAAACGATAAAGGTAAAACATTAAATCGAGAAAATAAATTTGGCCTTTTAAAATATTCATAACCTTTATACATAAAAGTATGAACATTTTTCATGAGTTTTTTTTGGAACAGGATCTTGGATCTTACTATGTAGCCCAGTCTGGCCTCAGATTTGTGGTGGTCCTCTTGCCTCAGCTTCCCAACTGCTGGGATTATAGGCATGCTAAATTCTAATTGTTTTTCATTTTATTTATTTATTTATTTTATTTTTTGAGAACAGGCCCAGCCAAGTTCTTATTGTTTTTCATTTTATTTATTTATTTATTTTATTTTTTGAGAACAGGCCCAGCCAAGTTCTTATTGTTTTTCATTTTATTTATTTATTTATTTTATTTTTTGGTCTTTTTGAGTCTCATAGTGCCGTTCAGGCTGGCCTTGAGCTTACATTGTTGCCTAGGCTGGTCTTGAACTCGCAGTGATCCTCCTGCTTCAGCCTCCCAAGTGCTGGGATTACAGTTGTGCGCCACCATGCCTGGCATCCTATTGCTTTTTGTTAAATCTCAGTTCCACTGAAGTCTTACATACAGGAGTTTTAATGTTCTGTTTCAGTTTCAATAAGGGATTTCATTTTGAGCTTGTTCTGTGCAAATATCCAATGTTTTGTTAAAAGTTGACTTTTACCTAGATTTTTAATATTCTGTTTATCAAGGAATCAAACATTCTTTGGAACAGAAGCAAATTGCTCAGACTAAATGTACAAGTGCAGTGAACTCAAATGCCAAAGAGTTTGGACCTGAAGAACCCAACAGGAGAAGTGCAACATCTCTCATTCTTTTTGAGGAGGTAGGCTTAGAGTACACTTGCATAGTGTCTCCTAATTTACTATATGTTTTTAAATAAAGAATTATAAAATAACTAAGAAAGCCAGTAACACTTACATATTCATTTGAAATTAAGGCAAATAAAACTGCTAACTCTAGGAGAATTTTTTAGGAAGATGATTAATGCAATTAAGGTTACTAATTGTGTTTTAATGGTTATAGAAATTATTTTGAGTTACACCTATCTAGTTTTAGGTAGCAATCGCTTCTTGGCCTTTTGGCTAGGATCAAGTGAGGTATCTGTTCTTACCAGTTTAGTTATAGGTGGCTGCGATTTTTTTCATTTAGTACTTAATATTGATAATGTTAAACATTTTTTTGTTGTTGTTGTTGTTGTCTTTTTTGAGACAGGGTCTCGATGTGCAGCTCAGGCTGGCCTTGAGCTCACTTTGTAGCCCAGGCTAGTCTCGAACTTGCAATGATCCTCCTGCCTCAGCCTCCTGAGTGCTGGGATTACAGGCGTGCGCCACCACGCCTGGCTTAAACATTCTTTTATGGTATAAGATAGGCTTTCAGTGTGGGCTGTACTCACATTTTTCAAAAATTAATAAATTTTGTCTGACCCATAGTATGTCTACATATAGTTAACATAGAAACATATCCAATAAGTCTGTTACTCATTACATTAATATTGTGATAAATGGTTTGTAGGTTGATGTCATTTTTGATGAAGATGCTGGGTTTTTGAATGCAGTCAAGACATTTATGGCAACAACTAAACGACCTGTAATCCTTACTACAAGTGGTAGGTAACAATAATGTTAGTATAATTAATTACTTTTGGCAAAAATGTTTTGGAAAAGCTTTTAATTTTAGTTAGAACAGTTTCTTTAAAAGTCAGTTCTCAGGCTGATACAGTGGGCACTCGTGCCGTTCCAGGTACTTGGGGTGCTGAGTCTCGGGAGCACTGCTGGAGTCTGAGTTTGGCAGCGTGGCAGTACCTCCTCTCAGAGGGTGTGGTGGCCTGCGCCTGTCATCCCAGCGCTCAGGAGATGGAGGCAGGAGGGGCTGGGAGTCAAGGCCAGCCCGGGCTATTTAGCAAGACCTCGACTCAGAAACCAAAACAAAAGAAAATTTGTCTAGAACTCAAAACAGACACACACATTCTCACACAAAAGCGCTATTTTCTCAGTAGTAGAGCGCTTGCCTAGCATGTGTGAGGCCGTGGGTTCAATTCCCAGCACCACGAAAACCAAGTTGATAGATTACATCTTTTTTCTAAAATGAGGAAATTCCTCGATCTTTAAACTGAGAATTATTCAAACTTGAAATTGATTTGTAGCCCTTTGTGGTTATAAAATTCATATATGACTTCACAAATTGCAATGACTTTTTAAAAATGGGTACGACTTTGGGTCACCCTGTTGAGTATTATGTGTTTAGGCAGCAGAAACACCTAGAACACAGAGTGCAGGAACCGAAGTAGGGGATGCAGCACTTTCCTCCCTTGCCTCTGTGTCGCCTGTACTTACACGGCCAGATCACCAGACCTCACTGACTAGTTGAGATTTTTTTTCTCTATTATAGATTGAATTTAAGGGAGCTCTACCACTGAGGTGTGTGCCCAGCCTTTTTTATTTTGAGACAACGTCTTTCTGAGTTGCCGAGACTGGCCTTGAATTTGTGATCCTCCTGCCTCATCTTCCCAGAAAGCTGGGATTAGAGGGTTGCCCAGCTCTAGCCAAGCTTTGTTATAGAACTCAATCTTTCTGCAGTTCCTTAATAATGAATTTAGCCCCTCCTTAGCCCTTGATATGGATTACTGTGTATTTCAGCTAAAGTAAGCCATCACCAGCCCGACAGAATCTATTTATTTACCTTCTCAGGAATTAGCATTGGAGGTTTAAACTCATATAATTTATTTTTTAAAAATTTATAAGTATTATGATATTACTTCCTAATACCTTTCATTGCAGTTATTCAGGAGGTAGCTCTGCTCATGTGTTTGTGTTAGATTTCACTTATAGATTAATGTCCCATATTACAGTGGTTGTACTCTAAAAGCCTTTATAAAATCTTACTAATCATAAATTAAGTGGTGGTTTAATTAAGAGATCATAGTCACTTTAGGTCAGCGTGAACGCTGGTGTTCTCTAAGGCTTTGTAATTGTAGTGGTCCTCTGGCATGGTATTGTACAGTCACCCTCCCTTAGTTACGACCCCAGGTAGATGCCTGAAACCTCAGATAGCACTGAACCCTAAATGTATTGTTTTTCGTGGAAAAAAGGATGATCAATCAATTTTCATTTGAAAATTGATTGACTGCAGGTAACGGAAACTGCAGAAGGCGAAAGCACAGGTAAAGGGAAACTACTGCACTTTCATAACTGATGAGCCACATGTTTTTTTTTTTTTTTCTTTTTTTTTGTCTTTTTGAGGCAGGGCCTCCCTATGCAGTTCAGGCTGGCCTTGAGCTCACTTTGTAGCCCAGGCTGGTCTCGAACTCAGGACGATCCTCCTGCCTCAGCCTCCTAACTGCTGGGATTACAGGCGTGCGCCACCACGCCCAGCGAGCTCCGTTTTAACAGAAAAGGATTACTACATTTAGTGCTCTTAATAGTTTTTTTAAAATGTCTCTTTTTTTCTGTAGATCCAACATTTAGTTTAATGTTTGATGGCAGCTTTGAAGAAATCAGTTTCAGTACTCCTTCTCTGGTAAGTTTTGAATTTTGATAAATTACATATCACAATTATGTAAAAATGTGATTTTTTTATTGAATTTACTTATGATATTTTAAAATATGTTTGCTAAGGGATGTGTTAAAACTTTTGAGTTTTAGGAAACTTTTTATTTTTTCTTTTGCTTTAATAAAATTTTTTCAGATATTGAAATTCTTTCTAGATTCCAATGTTTATTTGTTGTTATCCTAGTAACAGTACTTTATTACGATACATTTTAAATACAATTAAAACTTGCATTTATCTTACTCTGCTACTTAAGGTTAACGTGTGTAAAAGCCCAGTGTAATCCCAACACAGATCAAAATACACATTTCTGTCACCTCCAAGAGTTCCTGTGGGCCCTTGTAGCCAGCCTTTTTAAAAGTCATTATTATTGCCTTTTGTGCTCACTCACTTTTTCACTTTTTTTGAGACAGGTCTTGCTATGTAGTCCAGGCTGACCTCAAACTCACAGTTATTCTCCTGAGTGCTGGCGTGCGCCATAACACTTGGGGTTTTTTTGTTTTTTTTGAGACAAGATTTTGCTATATAGTTCAGGCTGGCTTCAAACTCACAATTCTGCCTCAAACTCCTGAGCGCTGAGATTATAGGTCCACCATATCTGGCCTGCACTCACTAATACAATTTTCTTATTCTAGTTTTATAAATGGCCCTTTATTTTTTATTTTTTAAAATTTTTTTAAATTTAATTTTGTGTGTGTGTATGTGTGTCAGGGTCTCACTATGCAGTTCAGACTGCAAAGAAGGTATCCCCTTTGTGGTCTCGAACTTGTGGTGGTCCTCCTGCCTCAGCTTCCTAAGTGCAGGGATTATAGACATGCACCACCCAGGCCCGGCCAAGTTCCTATTTTATTTATTTATTTTATTTTTTGGTCTTTTTGAGACAGAGTCTCGCTATACAGTTCAGGCGGTCCTTGAGCTCACATTGTAGCCCAGGCTGGCCTTGAACTTGCAATGATCCTCCTGCCTCAGCCTCCCGAGAGCTGGGATTACAGGCATGTGCCATCACACCCAGCTAGTTTTTATTTTTTATTGGTACTGGCAATCGAACTCAGGACCTTGTACTTGCCAGGCAGGTGCTTGTGCTGCTGAGCTATATCCCCAGCCCATTCTAATTCTGTTTTTAGAAAGTTACATATTTTTCAATACCATTATAATAGTATTCATATTTTTGATACCTATAAAATATTGTCAAGTGATATAATTACTTAATGTTAAGGTCTTTTTCCAGGCTTATAAAACTGCCACCAGTGTTCAGATTGGGGAATCTCTTATAAAAGTGTCATTGTTGTCCTGAACTGTACATAAAATTTTTTTTTTGAGACAGGGTCTTATAATTCTGGCTGGTCTTGAACTGACTATGTAGCTCATAGACTGGCTTTGAATCCATAGCAATCGTCCTGCCTCAGCCTCCTGAGTGCTAGGATTATAGGCATGCGCCAACTGTGCCTGGTTCATACATAATAAATTTTTTAAAATGGATATATAAATATCTTAAATTTGCTAGTAGATTCTCATATGTAGAGATATATCTATATCTATATATATCTATATTTTGTTTTGTTTTGTTTTTTGAGACAGGGTTTCACTGTGTAGTTCAGGCTGCCTTAAACTCACTATGTAGCCCCAGACTGGCCTCAGGCTCACAGTCCCTTATAATTTTTCAGAGCAATTTTATCTCAGAGAGCTTTAAAATAGTGTGAATTTTAACAAAATTTGTCTCACTTCTAGATATTGTTCAGAATTATTTTTACTGTAACTTTATGAACTTTGCAACTGATCACGTTTCTCTTTCTCTCTCTCTCTCTCTCTCTGTCTCTCTCAGCTAAATGTTGCCACCTACTTACAAATGATCTGCTTAACTGAAAATTTCAGAACTGATATAAGAGACTTTGTGACCTTATTAACTGCAAATGCTTGTGATATCAGAAGAAGTATCCTTTACTTACAATTTTGGGTTAAAAGTGGAGGTGGATTTTTGGAAGAAAGGCCACTATCTCATTCTGGTAAGTTGATCTATTTTTAAAGAAATTTTTTTTTTTTTTTGAGACAGGGTTTCACTATGAAGTTCAAACTGGTCTTGAGCTCACTTTGTAGCCCAGGCTGGTTTCAAACTTGCAACAGTCCCCCTGCCTCAGCCTCCCAAGTGCTGGGATTACAGGTGTGCGCCACCATGCCCAGCTGAAATTTCTATTACAGGACCTTATTTTTAAATGTATGTTGCACTATAGTGAACTATTTTTTTGTTTTGTTTTGTTTTGTTTTTTTGGTTTTTAAGACGGGGTCTCACTGTAGTTCAGGCTGGTCTTGAACTCACTATGTAACCCAGGCTGGCCTCAAACTCATGGATATCCTCCTACCTCAGCCTCCCGAGTGATGGGATTATAGGTGTGCAGCACCATGCCTGGCTATACTAAACTATTTGAAAGACTAATTTTTTAGCATTTGAGTATCATTCTAATCCTCAAAGTACATATACATATGTTAACCTAGTTACTTTTCTTGTTGCTAAGACAAAATACCTGACACCCAAAGTTAATGGAAGAAAGGTTTATTGTAGGTCATAGTTTGTAGACGTTTCAGTTCATAGGGTTCCAAGGCAGGATGGCATCACAGAGGAGAAACAGTGTATGGCAGGCAGAAGGCAGTACAGTAGCAAAGAAGGAGTAAGTGACAAGCAGCAACAACAGTGGCCCTGTTTCTGTCTTATATTGTATTCAGGCTACCCACTGTTAGGGCAGGTAGCACCACACCCAGGATGGGGCACCCTTAATCCTAGCATCACACTATGAATTAATCCCAGCATCATATACTCCAGATCCAGCCACCTCTGAAAAGCTCCACCTGTAACCACATACGGCTTTGGGTTGCATCTAGATACAACCTATAACATATTTCAGCTTTGCTCATGGCAATTTTTGTAAATCGTTAGTATGAATAGAATAAAACTGACTCTGGAAACAGGCCTTTCTCTGCCTGTGCTGTTCTTCATTGTGTAACCTCCCAAACTCAGTTTACCTGTTTGTTCCTGTTTCTTTGCCTCAAAAATGAGGGGGCTAAGCTAGATAAATCTGTAAATTACTTTTTATTGTATAGTTACTCTATTAAGATTAAAGTGGCTGGAGATATAGTTCAGCAATTGAGTGCTTGCCTGGCTCTGGGTTAGATCCCCAGTGTGAGAGAAAGGAATTCCTCCCCACATATTCAGCTGTTAAAATTTCTAAATTGTCACTTATGCATTTATACACATACAGTTTTTTTTGGTTTGTTTTTTGGGGTTTTTTTTTGTTTCTTTGTTTTGAGACAGGATTGCGCTGTGTGGTTTAGGCTGTCCCTGAACTCACTATGTAGCCAGGCTGGCCTCGAACCTGCGGCAATCCTCCTGACTCAGCCTCCTGAGTGCTGGTATTACAGGCATGCACCACTACACCCAGCATAGTTTCTTATAAAAGAAATACAACTATAATATTATCAGCTTCCTTTTTTCACTTATTATAAACTGTTGGTGATCTTAACATTAGTATATAGATAGATAATATCTATATCTATCTATGTTTTTTTTTTGTTTTTTTTTTTTGAGACGGGTCTCACTGTGTAGTACAGACTGGCCTTGAACTGACTTATGTAGCCAAACCTGGCCTCAAATTTGCCAGTCTTCCTTCCTTAGTCTCCCAAGTGCTGGGATTACAGGTGTGCACCACCAAACCCAGTGCTATATCTTTTTATGTGAACTATGCAGTAAACTTAGCTTGTCATTCTATTTTTTCTAAGACTTTTATTTCACATATGCTTTTAGTTCTTACTGCTCTTTGACTATCACTGTGACCTAATCATGACACACTCCTGAGTAGTTTCTTCATGCCAGGTCCTATGAGTAAGCCATATTCCTTCTTTGAAAGAAGTTGCTAGTTTATGCTTTGCATGCTTACTCCATAGTCAGAGTTCTGGGGCCAGGGATATAGCTCAGTGGCACAAGCACCTGCCTGGCAAGTGCAAGGTCCCAAGTTTGATTTCCAGTACCAAAAAAAAAAAAATATGCCTTAAACATAGAGAAATACACACATACTTAAAGAAAATCAAGGTGACATGCCTTCTCACATTGCTAGCAGGTGTCAGTCTTATAAATAAAATCAAGATGAAGTTCTGTAATATTAACCCTCTGTCATTTTTCCCTTTAACTTGAGAGCTTGTTTGGAGGTTCTAGCAGGGGATCCCGGTTACTCATATACCTTTGACAGAGGAAACGCCCTCCTCTGTCGGGGTGGTTGTCCTTTTCAGCCAAGCAGGCAGCTTTGAGAGGACACACACGGAGTGGTGAGGTAGGAAGGGGACATTGCCTAGCCAGCCAGATCAGCCGACTCAACCCTCGCAGTCCATGGGGCGACAGATGTCGCAGCCAGATTGCCCTCACATCCTTTTTCCTTTAACTTGTTCAAAATTTCAACATATTTTTAAGTAGACATGCCCACTTTCTTTTTTTTTTTTGAGGCAGGGTCTCGCTATGCAGTTCAGGCTGGCCTTGAGCTCACTTTGTAGTCCAGGCTGGCCTCGAACTCGTAACAATCCTCCTGCCTCAGCCTCCCGAGTGCTGGGCTTACAGGTGTGTGCCACTGTGCCGGGCTATGCCTATATATTTAATTCAGTGTAAGTATCACCAGTTTGAGGTAAATATGATAAATAAGACGTGGAAGATACTCTGGTGTAAAAACCAAATAAGTGAAGTTAAACTATTGCCATACCACTGGTTATAAATTTTCATACGAATTTTATTTATGTATTTAGGAAGGGAGGTTTATTTTGGCTACATATCGACTGATTAATTGATTGCTGTGCTGGGGTTTAAACTCAGGGCCTGGCACACGCTAGGACTGGGCTACATCCTCAGTCCCCATGAAAACAGAAACTAAGTATCACATAGCTTCTCTTTTTGAAGAGTTTATGTACATTTCATTCCTGCCTTTTTAAAGAAACACGGATTCAGGCTCATAGGAAATTCAAGTAATAATCATATGTACATATATATTCTTCCATTTGTTAAGGTAGTTCCTGCTGTACTTTTTTCTAGGCATATAAATTATACCCACATGTGTAGTTAGCAAAAGTTTTATATCTTTTTTTGTGTGTATAGTGCTGGGGATCAAACCAGGGCTTTGTGCATGCCAGGCAAGTGCTCTGCCACTTTAGCTACATCCCCAGCCTCTTAGTCAGTTTTTAACTCAGCAATTTATTGTCAGCGTGTATTGTTTCACCTTATTCTTTGTCACAGCTGCATATTATTCCATAGAAATACCATAATTTCATCAATCACTACTTTTTCATAGGGATTTAAATTACCTTCAGTTTAAATTATCTTCAGTTTATCATTATAGTAATGTGCAGTGGCTAGATGGGTGGTATACAACTGTAATTCTAGCACTTAGGAGACTGAGGCAGAAGGATCCCCAAGAGTTCAAGGCTAGCCTAGGCTACATAGAAAAACCCTATCTCATTAAACAAAACAAAACAAATGCAATGAATATTCATATATCCTTGGGCATATCTGTGAGCAATTCGGATGCAATCTAGAAGCGTGATTGCTGAGCTGAAGGCTGCATACACTTTGCATTTTGACAGGTGTTGCCACATTGCTCTCTGAAAATAACAGTACCAATTTATGCTCCCACAAATAGTACATGGTGGGTCTTTTATGTGTGCTATTAGTTTTTATTTTCAGTACTGGGGATTTGAACCCAGGGCTTTTGCATTGAGCTCTGCTCTCCCTTTTTTACTTTTGTTTTTGGTTTTTTTTTTTGGTATTGGGAATTGAACTCACGACCTCATGCTTTCCAGGCAGCTGCTATGCCACTGAGCTATATCCCCAGCCCCTCCCTTTTTCACTTTTGAAACAGGGTCTTAGTAAGTCACTAAATTGTCCTTAGTAAGGGCAATTGGGCTGGAACTTACAATCTTCCTACCTCAGTTTTCCAGGGTGCTGGGATTACAGGTGTGCACCACCATGCCCAGCTGTATTTCACTCTGTATTTCTGTGATGACCAGAGAAAATGTAGATCTTTGCACAGGGGTCAGGGTCTCACTATGTAGTTCAGGCTGCTCTTGAACTCAGTATGTAGCCCAGGTTGGCCTTGATCTTCCTGTGATCCTCCTGCCTTGATCTCCTGAATGCTAGGATTACAAGTGTGTGCCACCACACCTGGCTGCATCTTTTTTATTTTATTTTTTCAGCTAGTGCTCTTTCTTCTATAACTTGCCTGTTCTGTCCTTGCCTTTTTTTCTTGCCATTGTTTTGGGAGCCCCCCACCCCATTACTACTCTTAGCTTAGGTATTATTACAAAAAATGTTTATATTGTACTCTTAGCAAACTCCATACATAAGGGAAGACAAAATTGGGGTATACATCCAAAAAGTGCAAAAGATCTTGTACTTATGATAACTGCTTGATACACTTTGTTCAGAATATGTATAGCTAGAAGTTTTTTATTAATTTTGTAGGACGAAGTAGCCAGAATGTATTAGTTTGCACTGAACAAGGCCCTGATTCCAAAAGTAACACTAAAAGTACTAAGAAGAATCGGATAGTCCTTCCCAAATGTGACACTGGCTGTGCTGAGACCTTCTTTGGACTCAAGAACATTTTTTCCCCATCTGAAGACTTATTTTCATTTTTAAAGGTATTTTCAATATCTACTTGAAAAGTTGAATTTGTATTTCTTTTTATCTTCTCAACATTTATGCTTTGAATCTTAAATTTAACTTAAATGTGCTTATAATATTTATAGGCCTTAGATTTCCAATTTTAACACATTCTACCACTTTGACTAATAGCATTGCATAGACATTGTTCTAAATGCATATTATAGGGTTTAGAATAGACTCGACTCCTTTTAGATCAAAACACACTTTCAGGCTTTTAAATAAATGACCTAATTACTGCATTGCAGTATATACTATATTTATATTGGAGTATATACTACAGTATTTAGTTCTCCAAATTAGCAGTATAAATTTAGCTTTGAGAATCAGTACCATTTTAATATTTTATTTGTAGGATAATAAAATTATAAGGGTAGTCACTCAGAATAGGGACAGTATTATATTCATATGGATAGAAAAGGGCTCAGATCATGTACTGTTATAACATTCCCTTAAAATTTGCATTTCAGCACAAAATCACAACGAAGGACGAATGGCATAAATTCATCCAGCTTCTTACAGAATTCCACGTGCAGAATATAGATTTTTTATATAGTAATCTTGAGTTCATCCTACCATTACCGGTTGATGCCATTCCAGAAATAAGAAACCTTCGTGGCTCATCTGTCACCGTGGATGCCAGTGCAGCAACAGGAAGTAGGAAATGCCTTGTCAGGAAATGCTCTGAAGGAGAGCAGCCGTTGAAAAAGTCACAGAAAAGAAAACATAAGAAAAAGATGGTGATCCTAGACGATAGTGACTTATTTGACACTGGATTGGACTTCTCAGACGAATTTATTAACCTGTCCCATGTGTCTTCCTCAGATTTAGAAGAAAGCAAAGCCAGAGGCAAAGAAAACAATCCAGAGACAAAGAGTCCAAACCAGTATTCAGAGTGTGACATTGAATCGATTCCTTGTCCTCCTAAAACACCGGCAGAAAAACAGTGCTCTGTCCTTCTTTCTCATTGTTTAAGTTCTCTCACTGAGTTCATGGACAACATGTCCTTCTTAGATGCCTTCTTAACAGATACAAGGGAACAGAAAGAACCTGGTAAAAATGACTTCTGCTGGACAAGTGGAAAGGTTCAAAGTGGACTTTGTGATGAGTTTAGTGTGGAGAGTGGTGATGGGTGGACTTCTCAAGGCTCTGCGGAATTAAAGGCAGCTGTGCAAGCGTTCAGCTTTACTAAATGTTCTTCTGCTATTTCAAAAGCGCTGGGATCTTTGAATTCTTGCAAGAAATTAGGAAGAGATCCAACCAACGAGCTTACTTTTTATGTTTCACAAAAACATTATAATGTGTGCTTTAGCCAGTCACCAGCTAATTTGGAGTAAGTCTTGCATTTTTTAATTTTATTTTTATTTTTCAGTAATAAATGACAAAGGGGAAATTATTAGTTTCTTATTAACTTTAAAATTCTGGGCTATTGGTCATGGTAAGCACTAAAATTAATAATGTACGTTCTAATGCGTTAAGGAAACCAACCTGATTACTAAAAAGATTACAGTGGGCTAGATTTAGGAAGCACTTGAATAAGAGGTTTGGACTTGCCTTGACAAATAGCAGGTAGCCAGTAAGTTTTTTCAGTATGGAAGTATGTCATGTGTTGATTGGATATTAATCTAAGTGTTGTCCAGTCTAGACCACAGGCAGGCAAACTAGATGTTTGAGATTATTATATTTTTATGAGGCACTTAAAATAAAAATTAACGCATTACTTTTAATTTACAGCAATGCTTGGAAGAGGATAGCAGTGGTTAAAAGTGTATTTTCTAGTCGATCTCTACTGAGCGTAGGTAACAGACAAGCCAGTGTGACTGAGTACCTGCCAACTCTTCGACACATCTGCAGGACTGAGAAGCTAAAAGAACAAGAAAAATGTAAAAGAAGGTAAAGGCTGTAAGAAACAGAACACATTTTATCCAACTTTGTCAAGCTTAATAAATACTCTCTTCAGATCAAAATACTAAATTCTGTTTTCCGCTGTGATTTTGACAGGTTCCTGCACTATTTTGAAGGAATTCATCTGGACATTCCAAAAGAGACTGTGAATAGTTTGGCAGCTGACTTCCCTTAATACTGTGCATTAACTATGCCTTGTACAAATTATGTGGTGCTTAAGATACATTGTGTATAATGTTGATTTTCATGGAAGTGTTCATTTTTGTTAATGTACATTTAAAACAGACTATTTGTATTTTTTATTGCAGATATTTAAAATGAAAAAATTTGAATTATAAATTGTATATATGATGGTGGCAGTTTTTCCTGAATTTTTTATATTATATAATTTTGCTTTGTTGGTATTTTTGGTACATGAATGAATTGTGTCTAGAATGTAGAGTTAACTAAGATATTTCTAAATATACAGTGCTAAACTAATGCTATATTTTTTCCCTTTTCTATTACCCTTTACCCACACCTCTCCAAATACAGTTCTCTCAGACTGAAAATACAAAGCACATAGATGGTGATCTTTTTAAAATGAGTTTACACAATATAAAATTTTTTTTAAAAAGTTACATATGCAATGCTTAAGAAAACTTCCCAGCATATTTACCACTGAATCAACATTCTGAATGTTTTCATAAATCATTTTTAGCACCCCTACATAGGTGATACCTTGAATATTCTGCCAACTCAAATCACTTGCTTCATAAATTTTTCTTGTTTTTTTATAACTATGTTTTATTTCACACTGATATTACTGGCATTAATATATCCATTTTGGACAAGCTGCTGTTCATTAAAACTGTTACAAAAGAGGATTCTCCCATAGGGTTTCTTTTTTTTCTTTTTGTCTTTTTTTAGACCGGGTCTTGCTATGCAGTTGGGGCTGGCCTTGAGCTCACTTTGTAGCCCAGGCTGATCTTGAACTTGCAATGATCCTCAGCCTCCTGATCCACCTGTCTCAGCCTCCCAAGTGCTGGGATTACAGGTGTGCGCCACCACGCCCAGTGGATTTCTACATTCTAACCATCTCCCAGTACGGTTGTTTTCATTTTCTCACGGTGCTGAGGATTGAACCCAGAGCTCTGGACATGTGAGGCAAGCTTTGCGCCGCTGAGTTATAGCCCAGGCCCTGCTTTTGTTTTTGAGACAGGCTTGCTGTTACCCAGGCTGGTCCAGGCCCGTGGGCTCACACAGTCCTGCTCAGCCTCCCAAGTAACTGGGATTACAGATGTATCTTGCCACACCCAGGAAGGTCATGTTTTTCAGGGAAAAAAAGTATATATTGTTATTCTGGTAACAAGATCTTAAAATATCACATTTCACTTAAAAGTCATTTTGTAATCAGATAATCAGGTTTAAAATCACTGTATTTGAAATGGCTGTATTATATAATAACTTAATATTTCAGGTACATTATCTGCTGAATTGTGTTTTAACTGAAAAGGATCCTGATTTTGTAGTTTTTTAAAATATAGATGCAAACCTGTTCTTAAATGTCTGTAGAGATGTTTTTACCTCTTACTTGTTCAACCTACTTTTTCTTGTGTCGATTAGTATATTGCTGTAATTAAAGCTTGAAGCTAAAGCCGATTTATGCAGTATTAGAGGTAATCGTCATGGTAAATATGTACGCTGTGCAGACTTGGATATAGGCTGTATCTTACAGATTTTGTTCCTATACAGAAGAGAGAACAATGTCTTCTGCAGCTTTTTTAAAGTGTACTTATCTGTTTTCTTACTGACTTCATCCTGTAGGCCCTCCCCAATTAACTAGGTGTTTTATTATTAAGAAATGACAATTCTCAGCAAAAGTAAAATAACACCATGGAACTGTATTCAAGTGATTACACATCAAGAAACAAGCCAAGTGTGGTGATACACACTTGTAATCCCAGCTCCTTGGGAGGTTGAAGCAGGTAGATCACAAGTTCAAAGTCAGCCTGGGTAACTCAGGGAGACCATCTCAAAATAAAAAGAAAAAAAGAGCTGAGGATATACATAGCTCAGTGCTCCCCAGTACAGAAAAAGGTTTTTTTGTTTTTTGTTTTTTAATCAAGAAATAATGGGCTGGGGATATAGCTCAGTGGCACAACTGCCTGCCTGGCAAACGCAAGGTCATGAGTTTGATTCCCCTTACCAAAAAAAAAAAAAAATCCAAAGAAATAATAGAAATAATGAGGGTATTTTTCTCCTTAATAGGATCTGATTGGTCTTTTCAGGTTTACTATACTTTGGGGATGCTTTGTTTTGTGGTACTGGGCATTTTAAAAAGGGGTGAGGAGGCCAGGCTTGGTAGTTTACGCCTGTAATCCCAGTCTCAGGGAGCTGACACAGGATCGCAGTGAGGTTAAGGCCAGCCTGAACTATATAATGAGACCCTGTCTCAAAAAAAAGCAAAAAAGAAACAAATTTTGATGCCTTATCAGTATTTTGCACCTTATATGATGTTTAAAATTGGGGCTGGGGGTTTAGCTCAGCGGCACAGCGCCTGCCCGGCAAGTGCAAGGTCGTGAGTTTGATTCCTGGTACCGGAAAAAAACAAACAAACAAAAAATAAATAAATAAAACTGATGCATTCTCTTTTACAGGTATTTCAGGAAATATGTGGGAGGCAAATGGCATGTTTTGGGCACGAACTGGATAGCTGGTGAAGTTGTTTGCCAAAGTAAACAAGAACAACAAAGTGCTAGTTTGAAGGGAAAGAGAATAATTTCCTTTTAGACTTGTATAGTGTGAGGCATCTACTTTTCCAAAATAGAGATGTGTAAATACATAGCACGCATGTGGTGCAGGCTTAATGTGCACGGCTTCCTGCTGTATATACTTCTGGTTATTTCAATTTTTCTTCTTCCCAAAAAGCATATTTGACTTTTGGATTAAGGGAAGATTTAATACCCTGGCATCAAAGAGATTGGTTCAGTACAAGAGATATAATGCCCTGAACTACGGCAGACATAATGGAAAATTGAGAGAGGGGTGTGAAAAAGAAATCACATGAAACACTTAGCAAAAGACAGTCTGTCAAAAGCCTATCAAAGTGAGAACGTGAATCTACTAGACCAAGTTTGTTCTGGGGGAAATGTGTCTGAGCTAATGAAAACTGCCTCGCCACACACATCCTACCTGGAAAATAAGAGGCATCTACAAGCTGTGTTACCAGTTGTCTGTAACTTTATTCTCATAAACACCACCCAGAAAAAAAATCTTTATTCCCTGTTCTAACAATATGAGAATAATGCAGATCTTTTGTACAGATATTTTTTTGTTTGTTTTTTTAAGAATAGGAAATTTATTGGGGAAAAAGGAATGGGAGTAGAAACAGCTCCTGAGAGACAGGAGGGGTCCTGAATGGGCTGCCGATATTTGCTTTGAAAGGGAACAACTTTGTTTCTTATTTTGGTAGTTTCGGGCAGTCCTTACTATTTAACACTTAAAACCAAAAGGCATAGAATCTTAAAATATTTATTGATTTGGTCTTGTATTATTGTGGATACTAAAGGAGCAACTTTGTTTCTTATTTTGGTAGTTTCGGGCAGTCCGTACTATTTAACACTTAAAACCAAAAGGCATAGAATCTTAAAATATTTATTGATTTGGTCTTGTATTATTGTGGATACTATTTCTCAGCCAAGTCTAACTTAAAAAATCTAGCTGGGAATATAGATCAGTGGCACAAGCACCTGCCTGGTCCTGAGTTTGATTGCCGGTACCAAAAAAAAAAAAAAATTAAAATGTACTAAAAAATGTGTTTTCTTCTCCTTTAAAATGGGTGTTCAGAACAGCTGGTTTTACAATTTTAGTTTATAAACATAACATTAGAGGAATTACATTAACTCAGGATTGTAAGGCCCAGTGTCAAAAAGTACTTTTTTGTGTGTCTTTTTGAGACAGGGTCTCGCTGTGCAGCTCAGGCTGGCCTTGAGCTCACTTTGTAGCCCAGGCTGGTCTCGAACTCAACGATCCTCCTGCCTCAGCCTCCCGAGTGCTGGAATTACAGGCGTGTGCCACCACGCCTGGCTCAAAAACTACTAACTCATAGAAAGCAACAGCTTGTAACAATGAATCATACAACTCTTCTATTCGGTATGAGTTAGATAAAAATCTGTCTCTGTAGTGCACCACTTTATCCTTCGGGAAAGACACTCGAGGCTCGGCCTTCAGTACAGAGTCAGATATGAACTGCTGGACTAGTTCTTTTCCACTCGTCCGAGAGTCACCGATCATCAGCTCAAAGTGCTTCCCCACTGCATTTCGACTTATGCTCAGTACGTGGTGCTGGCCATCCTGCGCAAAAGTTTTATTTAGCAAGGCATACAGCATGGCTTCTGTGATATGAAAATGTAACAGAATGGGGAACAGAGTTGAGTTCTGAATCGGAAGTGCTGTCTTTTCCAGAACATAGAAGTCTGCTTTTGGCATCTTTGAAATGACTGAAGAAATCTTAAAAAAAAAAAAAAAAAAAAGGAAGAAAAGACACAGTAAGTAAGCAGAAATTATGTAGTTTTATGTTTAGAGCCTCTTTCTGTCCTGTTTCTATTTTAAAATATTTAGGTACTGTTTATTTCATTTATTGCTGTTGACAACTTTGAAATAATTGAGCATTTTTTTATGGACAGCTAAGTTCGGGCATGATTATCAGAAACAAGCTGAGCTAAAATAAGCTGTTGGACCGAGGATATAGCTCAGTGGCACAGCACCTGCCTGGCAAGTGTGAGGTTGCGAGTTTCATTCCTGGTACTAAAAAAATAAAATAAGCTGTTATGTCCTAAGTACCATACCAGTTTCATCTGTTAAATAGGCTTCATAATTTTTTTCTTGGTTTTTTGAGACTGAGTCTATGTAGTTCAGGCTGGCCTTAAACTAGCAGTAATCCTCCTGCCTCAGCCTCCAGAGTTCTGGGAATACAGACTTGAGCCACCATGCCCAGCTTTTTTAGAAATAGACTCTTGTTATGTTGTTCAGGCTGGTGTTGAACTCACTACATAGCCTAGCCTAGCTTTGAACTCACAGCGATTCTCATGCCTCAGCTTCCTGAGTGCTATGATTACAGGCATGTGCCACCATCCCTAGCTCCAAGGTTCACAATTCTTAAATATCTATATTAGCTTTAAGATCAGACAATTTAAAATTGTTTTATTAACCATTTAAAATTTTCTAGGGTAGCTGGGTATGGTGGTCCATGTCTATAATCCCAGTGCTCTGGGCGGCTGAAGCAGGAGGATGGCAAGTTTGAACAATTTAATGACTCAGTGACACCCTCTCTCAAAATGAAAAAGAAAAAAATCTGAGGATGTAGGTCAATGACAAGGCCCTGGGTTCAGAGGACAGCACTAGCTTGGTGTGGTGGTACACTCTATAATCCCAGCACTCAGGAGGCTGAGACGGGAGAATAGCTATGAGTTTGAGGTCAGCCTGGGTTACAAAGTGAGTTCAAGGCTAGCCTGCACTGCAGAGTGAGACCCTACCTCAAAAGACCAAAAACAAACAAGAACACAGTATTGCAATAATAATTAATTCATTCTAGGGTAGAGCAGAGGGACAGTTAATCAGTTAATTAACAGTTGAACAGTTAATCAAGAGCCAGGCATGGTCGTATATGCCTACAGTCCCAGCTATTCAGGAGGCTGAGATAGCAGATTACGAGTTGAAGGTAGCCTGGGCAACTTAAGACCCCTATCTCAAAAAAAAAAAAAAAACTAGCCAAAAATCGAATCAATCATTTCTGTAAATAAATAGTTATAGATGCTTGGCTGAACAACAGTTTTCCTATGTCAAGTCAGGATGATAATTTATCATCTGCCCATTTCACAAGATTTTGAAGACCTAAATGAGACAAGTGATAACATTTTAAAAATAAGCTTTATAACATACCACTGATTTTTTTCAACTTTTTTTTTGTACTGGAAATCGAACTCAGGACATTGCACTTGCCAGGCAGGCGCTTGTGCTGCTGAGCTAGATCCCCAGCCTCAACATCTTGGACTAATTAAAAAAGGTGACAAAAGCAATACCAGTGGGTAATAACTACCAAAAGAAAATCCATCCTTACTAATTTTATTACCTTTCTTTAGGGCCTAGAAAGTTAAACTGCAGAAGAAGCTATTCAAGTAACAGGAATTTAGAGGTGCAGCTGCCTTACCTCTTCTAAATAAACTGATGATGGGTGCGTTTTACTCCTTAACATCCAGCAGTCATTGTGCTGCCAGTCCAGCACCTCCAGTGTACGATCGAGGTGAGCCCATGCAATTCTTCGAGTGCCAAACACAACAGACACGATACTGTTCGCTGCCTAAAGAGAAAGGGCTGGTTTAATTACAAATGTAAAGGTTTTAACACGTACAAAACGTACTCTACAAGCTCAGAATGCCTAATTGGCTTTTTGTTTGTTTCGTTTTGTTTTCTATGAATGAAGTTATTAAGCCAGCATTCTGTGTTCTAATGCTTCTTGTTGGCAGCTGCCACCTGCAATACAAAATTTAGTTTATGAACTGAAAATTATTACTGTTGCCAGCATCTGTACAAGATACTGGAAACAAAGAGCATAAAAACAACATAAGAAATGTCACCGCCAAAAACACCCCCGGCATTTACAAAAAAAGAGAATGTCACCACACAACAGTTACTGTAGAGAAAAGTGATCTGGAAGTTTATCGGAAGATGAGGAGAATGAATAAAATGTTAACTAGGAAGTGATTTCACCCCGATTGCAGTTAGGGTGTTTGACACCTCGCCCCTAGGTGCTGGACAAAAGAACAGAGGGTAGTTGTAAAGTCGGTCAACTTACTTTATCCTGGGGGCTACAGGGAGCCACCGAAGCATGTAATTTTAGGGAATAGTGTAATATAAAATTTACGTTTTGGGAAAAAATCACTGACAGATGTGCAGAAGATGGACTGCAGTGGACTGATGAAAAGGGGTGGTTTGTGTTAGGTACTATTACAACAAACTATGAAAAACCAACCTGGTGGAAAAGGAAAAGAAAAAGGTCACACAGGCCAGTAGAAAGGGTACACTGTATAGGCTGGAGGAGGAGCTAGGATAACTACCATTTTCCGTCACTGGATGGCATAAGATACAGGATAGAGGCAAACTGGGAAGGCTGAGATGAGTTGTTTTTATTGTATTGAGTTTAGGTGCCAGAGACCTTCTTTTCGTTTTGTTTGTTTGTTGTCTTTTTGAGACAGGGTCTCGCCATGTAGTTCAGGCTGGCCTTGAGCTCACTTTGTAGCCCAGGCTGGTCCTGAACTCACACTGATCCTCCTGCCTCAGCCTCCCGAGCGCAGGGATTACAGCGCCACCATGCCCGGCACCAGAGGCCTTTCAAGAAGTGGACGTATGTATGGATTTAGCTCTGTGCCGAGTCTCAGCTGGATACAGGGTACAATATCATCTCATTCCCACACGGTTTGCTGACAGACACAACAGGTACAGGAGCAGATCAGAAGGAACACTTCATACTTCTGTAGCCATCACCCTTTCTGGTTAATAAATCACTGGATAAACACAGCAAAGGCAGAATAGTTTGAACACTCAGACATCTACACAAGAGGCATTTTCTATTGGTTCTCTAGCACAGGGCTCTCAAACTTTGGTGCATAAGCATTGCTAAACCACACTGCACAAAGCACTTCCTTGGACAAATTTTAAAAAAGATTTTGTTGCACAATTTTCTTCACACAAACTAACTTTACTTTCGCCAAGCCAAGCACAGGGGCACATGCCTGTAATTCCAGCACTTGGGAAGCTAAGGCAGGAGGACTGCAGTAGGTTCAAGACCAGCCTGAACTATACAGCAAGACTGTCTCAAAAAAAAAAGTTTCCTAAATAAGATACAACCCACTATAATCTGAGTATATACAGCTTTAGCCATGAATTTGGATTAAAGTCCTCTCTGAAAAATGTGGATGAAATATGTTCCAGATCAACTTCAGTAAAAGGTCCATCCTGAGTATTCTGCAAGTCTTTTAAAAGTATATGCAGTATTCTGTGTATATGCTGTAGTTTTCCTCCCCCTGGGAAGGTCCATAGCTTTCATCAAATTTTCAAAGAAGTCTCCATATTCCTCTCAAAACAGAACCACCGTCCCCCCATAAAAAAAATGCTTATTATGGGGTAAGAGGATTATTTTATCAAGCAATGTTACATAGGACTTAAGTTCCTCCAAAATTTAATGTTAGTGTCAAGTAATTTGCTTTTTGTCTTTTTGAGACAGGGTCTTACTATGCAGTTCAGGCTGCCCTTGAACTCACAACGATCCTCCCGCCTCAGCCTCCCAAGAGCTGGGATTACAGGTGTGTGCCACCATGCCCAGCTCACTGTGTCAAGTAATATGAATACTTAGTTTTACAGGTTATACTGAAAAAGATTTGGGGGTGTGGGGAGGATAGGATCTTGCCATGTAGCCCAGGCTGGCCTTGAATACATAGTGATCCTCCTGCCTCAGCCTCCCCAGGGCTGGGATCACAAGCACATGACACCATGTCCAACTACAATTTGCTTTAGATTACTTGTTAAAGGAGGTATAGGGAGCAGAAAATAATTTTAAATCCTGCAATAAATACTGGTATAATGTTCTAGAGTCACTGCTTGGTTATAATCTATTTATGCATCTTAATTTCTCGTTATAGCTGGGTATCTCTACAACAGTCCTCTTAAATATATCTTACATATACCTACTTCTTGACATCAGCTGTTTTTCTATAATGCTCTCCTCTTCCAGCCAGCCTAATTTTTTCTCATTCTAGAAACTTAACAGTAGTAGCTAGTTTTCCCTCCTTTCAATTGCCAATTTACTGTTTGTACACCTTACTATGTGTTATAATCATACTTCACCAGTCAGCTATTTATACAAGTATGTACAGATGCACCAACTAACCCTGAAGAACCCCGTATTAGTTAACACCCCGGCCGAGTGTCCAGTATGGTGGCACTGTACACTTCTCCATCCGTACACACATCAAGCGCTGTGACAGACACTAAGCGCATACCTTCAGTCTCTCTCTTGCTATGTTTGGTTTGATGAGGTTTCTCAACTGCCGGTTTTCTGGGAACTTTTTTTTCTTCTCAGTCTCTGGACAAAGAATTGAGTGACAAACTCGAACAATAGTTTTATACTGGAACAAGGGCACATTCATCAAACTCTCCAAATTCTGAAATGGCCCGAACTTTTCTCTGTGCTCTATAATATTGATGGACTTTCTTCCACGAAGCAATTTGAAAGCTTCAAGTTCTTTATTAGATGCTGTATTCAACACACGCAGGATGGAAGCCTGCTCTTCTGAAGAGAAGACCTTACTAAGTGCATTTCCAGAATCCTTTACATTTTCATCAGAACTGCTAATAATTCTCTCGGGTTCAGTGGATTTTTTCCGACAGCAGAAATTATGTAGATCTTGGAATAGGGATGACATCAGTGGAGCTGGTAAGCCTCTCCACCTTCCTACAAGGAAAATTTATCAGAAAGTAAGTTGGGATGTCCTACTGCCCTTTAGCGTTAGTTGCAGGGTTGGCCAGATCCTTTCCAAAGTCCCTATAGATTTTCCTATAATTTAAGTTGGGTCATGTTTAATTAACTTTTTTTATTTTTTATTTTTTTTGGTACCGGGAATCAAACTTGAGACCTTGCACTTACCAGGCAGGAGGTTATACTTAGAACTATATTGTAGTTACCCATACACAGTTTTTATTTTTTTATTTTTATTTTTATTTTTTTGGTTTCGGTTTTTTTCCGGTACCGGGAATTGAACTCATGACATCACGCTTGCCAGGCAGGTGCTGTGCCGCTGAGCTAAATCCCCAACCCACAGTTTTTAAAAACTTGGCTTTTTGTTATTTGTAAGTCACAAGAGATGTCTTCTCAGTCTTTTTGTCTTTTTGAGACAGGGTTTCACTATGAAGTTCAGGCTGGCCTTGAACTCATTGTGTAGCCCAGGCTGGCCTAAATTTAAAGCAATCCTCCTGTGAGTGATGGGATTACAGGTGTGCACCATGTCTTTCAGTCTTATGGATCAGTCCAAAGTTTTACTACTGCCGGGCATGGTGGTGCATGCCTATAATCCCAGCACTCGGGAAGCTGAGGCAGGAGGATATCCATGAGTTGAAGGCAGCCTGGACTACATAGTGAGTTCAAGACCAGCCTGAACAACACAGCGAGATACTGTCTCTAAAAAAGGTTGTAGTTAGCCAGGCATGGTGGTACACGCCCCTGATCCTAGCCCTCGGGAGGCTGAGGCAGGAGGATCACAGTGAATTCAAGGCCAATCTGAACTGCATAGCAAGACCCTGTCTCAAAAAAAAAGAAAAAAATTAAAGAGTTGGGACTATAGGTCAGTATAGAGTCCTTATCTAGCATATATGAGGCCCTAAGAACATGACTTCAACTGCTTAACGTTGTCAGCATTTGTAACAGGAGATCATTTTGTAACTGCTATTTAAAATTTACTGTCAGAGCCAGGCATGGTAGTGCATGCCTGTAATCCCAGCACTTGGGAGGCTGAGGCAGGAGGATTGTTTTGAGTTTGAGACCAGCCTGGGCTACAAAGTGAGCTTAAGGCCAGCCTGAACTGCATAGCAAGATCCTGTCTAAAAAAGACAAAAAAATAAAATAAAATTTACTGTCATTTTCACTAGTTTCTCATCCAGTGAACTACAGAAAATTAAATTTAATGCATTTATAAGAAATGTTTAGCCAGGCGTGGTAGCTCATGCCTGTAACCCCAGCACTGGGGAGGCTGAGGTAGGAGGATCGTTGTGAGTTCGAAGCCAGCCTGGGCTACAAAATGAGCTCAAGGCCAGCCTGAACTGCGAGACCCTGACTCAAAAAGACAAAAAAGACGAAAAACAAAAGTTTTACATAGCGCCTGAAGTTTTAGCGAAGTAGCATATTTACAGGAGGTTTTATTTCCTACCATACACTTTTTTTTGGGGGGAGGGGTCTTTTTGAGACAGGGTCTCGCTATGCAGTTCAGGCTGGCCTTGAGCTCACTTTGTAGCTCAGGCTGGTCTCGAACTCTCAAAGATCCTCCTGCCTCAGCCTCCTGAGTGCTGAGATTACAGGCGTGCGCCACCACTTGCCCGGCCCTACTGTACACTTTTCAAGATCTGTACCACGCCAGTGTTTTGTTTGTTTGGTTTTGGTTTTTGCAGTCCTGGAGCCCGAATCTAGGACCCCGAGAACGCCAGGCAAGCGCCCTATCTCTGCCCCACATCTCCAGTTCCCAAGACTAACTTTTTGCAAGCAGAATAAACACCGCATAGTAAGGAACTCTGCAAAACCAGTGCAAAGTCACTCTGACATCACAACAAAGAAAAATAATGTCGCCAGAGGTAACCAAGCTGTCGTCAGCATCTGAATCTTGCTCCTGCCGCCCACTCCAGGGAAAACGCGCGCAGAACCCAGCCCAGGGACGCACAGACTGAGGCTCCGGGACCAGATCTGCTGTCACCTCCGCTAAAACTCCAAGTGGGCGATCAAGATATGAGACATGAGTAAAGAAATAGTCCGGGATCGGGGGGTAATGGCATGGGAAATTAACCTTCTACTCCAAGGACTCTAGCTCTCGCCTTCAGGAAATACGAGACACTCATCTTCCAAGTCCTAGCAGCAGGCTCCCACGGCGCAGTCCTCCCCCACCGACTTCCGGTTCCTGTGTGCTCCGCCCCGAAGCGCGCGGCCTGTGCTGTGCAGAAAGGTTCCGGCTGAGCGGAGGCTCCCGGGGGGATCGCAAGCCGAGCCCTTGGGTGCCCGGCAGACTCGCTCCGCTGCCTCTAGAAAACGTAGGAAACGTTGGAAACGTTGGAAACTTTCTAGTCCCGCCCTGCCCTTTACAGTGGCTGCGCCGAATCTTCCGAAACGAAACGCCTTGGCTGGCTTTTGTCTGTAGTTCCTGTGGACTACAGACGTGGGAGGCTACCTGGGTTTCTTCCGGCTGCTTAGATGAGTGGTTCCTGCGGGGACCCGAGTGTGGTGGGGGAGCCGAGGCAGGTACACGACGATGCCCCCGGGTACAGTGGAACAATTCGATGAGATGCGAAGTGTTTCAGAAGCTCAGCGAGGAAAATAGAGCAGGCGTGAGAGCCCGGCATGGGTGACGCACTCCTGTAAACCCAGCGTTGGGCAGGCTGAGGCAGGAGGATCGCTGCCAGTGCGAGGTCAACCTAAACTACATAGTGAGACAGGCTCAAAAGGTGGC